TAATGCAGCCTGACCCTGCTAAACAGTTTATCCTCGAGGTGGACGCTTCAGATTCTGGTGTTGGAGCGGTCCTATCCCAGAGACTGGACACGGATCAAAAGATCCATCCATGCGCATTTTTTCTCCCGTAGACTTTCATCCGCAGAGCAGAACTATGATGTGGGAGACCGTGAGCTGTTGGCAATCAAATTGGCGCTGGAGGAATGGAGACATTGGCTTGAGGGAGCTGAGCACCCGGTTCTTGTGTGGACTGATCACAAGAACCTGGCCTACATCCAGTCAACCAAGCAAGCCAATCCCCGTCAATCCAGGTGGTCCATCTTTTTCTCACGGTTTAATCTCATCATTTCCTACAGACCCGGATCCAAGAATGTCAAACCCGATTCTCTCTCTCGTCTTTACTCCGTCGATCATCCTGAGACACCTGAACCAGTCCTTCCGGCTTCCTGCACTGTAGGAGTGGTTAACTGGGAGATCACTGATCTTATCAATTCCGCCCTGGCTACTGAACCCGATCCAGGTAACGGTCCAGCTAACCGAACCTATGTGCCATCTTCTGTCAGGTCCCGTCTCATCCAATGGATGCATGCAGCCAAGTTTTCTGCCCATCCGGGGGTCAGTAGAACCGTCGCCTTGATCTCAAGACGCTTCTGGTGGCCAACCCTCCATAGAGATGTCAAGGAGTATGTGTTGGCTTGATCCACATGTGCCCGAAATAAGGCCTCACATCAACCACCTTCTGGCCTGCTACAGCCACTTCCGGTTCCCTCGCGTCCATGGTCCCTTATAGCGATTGACTTCGTCACCGGCCTCCCTATTTCTCGAGGTATGTCCATTATCCTCACCATTGTTGACCGTTTTTCGAAGGCCTGCCATCTCATTCCCCTTAGGAAAAATCCTACGGCCTTCCAGACTGCCCAGCTCCTAGTTAAGCACGTCTTCCGCCTACATGGCATCCCCCAGGATATCCTCTCGGATCGGGGTCCTCAGTTCGTATCCCAGGTTTGGAAGGCATTCTGTTCTGCACTCGGCTGTAAACCCTCTCTGACTTCAGGTTACCATCCTCAATCCAATGGACAAACAGAGAGGATGAACCAGCAGCTTGAATCAACCCTTCGTTGCCTCACATCCAACAATCCCGTCGACTGGAGCCAATATCTTACATGGATCGAATATGCACACAACTCCCTCAAATCCGCTTCCACTGGACAATCTCCCTTTCAGGTCAGTCTCGGTTATCAACCTCCACTTTTCCCCGCAGACGAGAGAGAGATTTCAGTCCAGTCAGTCAATCACCACATCAGACGCTGCCAGAAGATCTGGAGAGAAACCATCGCCACCCTCAACCGATCTTCTGAGATCAACAAACGCTTCGCTGACTCCAGGAGACGTCCCGCCCCCGAGTACTCTGAAGGCCAGGAGGTATGGCTGTCCACTCGAGACATTCCCCTCAAGGGGATGTCTCGAAAACTCTCGCCCAAATTTATAGGTCCCTACAAGATTTCCCGAGTCATCAATCCATCTGCCGTCCGTCTCCAACTGCCTCAGTCTCTCCGGATTCACCCAACCTTCCATGTTTCCCAAGTTAAACCTGTCATCTCGAGTTCTCTGTGCCCGCCTTCCGACTCCCCACCACCCGCCCTGGAGGTCGATGGTCACCCTGCCTTCACCGTTCGACGCATCGTGGACTCCCGTCGACGAGGTCGTGGCTGGCAGTACCTCGTCGACTGGGAGGGCTACGGACCGGAGGATCGCCAGTGGGTTCCGGGCTCGTACATCCTCGACCCTGCCCTAATCGAGGAGTACGAGCGTTCCTGCCCTTCGACCTCTTCCCCACCGCCAAGGGGCGGTCGTTGAGGGGGGGGTACTGTTGGGAGCTGGAGAAGTTCCACCTTTCTCCAGCAGAGTCCGCCGTGGATCCTTCTGAGTGAGCCTCCTGCACAGCTGCAGCCCATCAGATCATCAGAGGATCCACTATATAAGCTGTCTTCAGACCTTGCCTCAACGCCGCAGTGTTGATCCAGTTGGTCAGCGCCTAAGCCTAGACTCTCAGTGAATCTTTGTGACTTTGAATCCAGCCTGGATTCTAACCGTTGTCTCTGTCTTCCAGGAAACCAGTTTCTCCTCTGTGGAGCTCAGGAAGAGCTAACCTGCCGAGCCGACCCTCAGAGCCAAACCCGAAGAACCTCAGTGAACTTCCATCCAGCTCTGGACTAAGAGCTGGAAGACCCAAAGCCAAGGTCTGCCCAACACTAGAAGTGAGACGCTGAAGCAGCAAACGGACTCTGCTGATCAACTCCTCTCCAGATCCAACAGAGACCCTCCCAAAGCTAACCACAAGAACCCTCAAGGTACAATCAGTAACTATCAAGAAAGCAAGCTCCAACGTGCATCGCTAACTGAACTGCCTCTCACGCAGACTCCGGTGAACCAGTATCCAGGCCCGAACCAGAACCAGGGGGCGGTTTGGCCCAATCGTCACTCTGGCTTAGATTCAACAGGAAGGGAAGAATAGGTCTCACGTAAAAAAAACTTTTATATTATATTATACTGAAGAACTAAACTTTATCAACTGGTTTTATTTATCAGTGCAAGATTGGAATTCCCACTGGTAAGATACATCCTAATCCCACATCTGACCATCTTATTAGGAATGTTGGCCTGGTGGTTAGGGCATAGAGCTTGGAATCCTGAGGTCGTGGGTTTGAAACCCACACCGGCTCTCTGAGCAAGACCTTTAACCCCACACTCTGCTCTCCAGGGACCCCACGATGGCAGCCCCCTGCTGCTCAATGGGATGGGTTAAATTAAAGGTAACATTCTGCAATGTGAGATCAATAAAGTTCAATTGTTATATTATTTCACTGACTGGAAAAGGTCCCTGGCCTGTTTCCTTGAGGCAAGAAAACATCTCTCCATGGAAGTTTGAGAGTTCTTCCTGTTTATAGATGGGGTTTCTCTGGGTACTCTGGCTTTTCCTCACAGGCTAGAAAGCACCACAGCACTTCTTGATTATTGACTGAGGGAGGTAGCCACCTGTTAGAGTGATAATTATAAAATTATTGTGTGGACATATGAAACATTGAAAGAAAGAGGATGTTACATTTCTATGCTGTGAATCAACCAGAAGGGTCATAAACTTTTATGACCTCCAGTCAGAATCACACGGTTGTGTGACTTCCATCCAGCCAGTTGGTCAATTCACACTATCTTGTTACCTGCATCCTCCCAGACAATCATTACTGGCTCTTCTGTTTTAGGCCCGCCTGTTTGATGTTGTAAACTGTTAATAAAAGGCTTTGCTATGAAGGGATCGGTGTGAGAAGGTGCTGGTTATCCTACCAGCTGTTGGGAGCTGGAGAAGTTCCACCTTTCTCCAGCAGAGTCCGCCGTGGATCCTTCTGAGTGAGCCTCCTTCACAGCTGCAGCCCATCAGATCATCAGAGGATCCACTATATAAGCTGTCTTCAGACCTTGCCTCAACGCCGCAGTGTTGATCCAGTTGGTCAGCGCCTAAGCCTAGACTCTCAGTGAATCTTTGTGACTTTGAATCCAGCCTGGATTCTAACCGTTGTCTCTGTCTTCCAGGAAACCAGTTTCTCCTCTGTGGAGCTCAGGAAGAGCTAACCTGCCGAGCCGACCCTCAGAGCCAAACCCGAAGAACCTCAGTGAACTTCCATGCAGCTCTGGACTAAGAGCTGGAAGACCCAAAGCCAAGGTCTGCCCAATACTAGAAGTGAGACGCTGAAGCAGCAAACGGACTCTGCTGATCAACTCCTCTCCAGATCCAACAGAGACCCTCCCAAAGCTAACCACAAGAACCCTCAAGGTACAATCAGTAACTATCAAGAAAGCAAGCTCCAACGTGCATCGCTAACTGAACTGTCTCTCACGCAGACTCCGGTGAACCAGTATCCAGGCCCGAACCAGAACCAGTATTATCAGTGTGCTTGTGACCAAATAAACTTGTTGAACTTTTATTCCTGTGTCCGTCAGTGGTGTTCTGCATAATTGGGTCACTCTTAGAGTACCCATCATGACACTGTAGGGAATTAATGTGCACCAATGATTAAAATATATACATGTCTTTCACATTGAATAAAGGTCTTGCTTTAAAAGTCTAAAAAAGTTTGGTATGCTGCAGAAAAGAGACAGAGGGTCTGGCATGCTGCTCAAAGTGCAACTTTAGATCAGAGCAAGATGCTGCTCTAAGGGTTCTAAGTGCAACTTTAGATCAGAACAAGACAGTGAGTCTGGCAAGTCCCGCTAAAAGTGGCTTCTGCACTGAGGCTAAGTTAAGAGTGCACAGATGTCCAGCAAACAGACAGCCGAGCCCAAATAAGGCCTATGTATGAGACATATGCTTGAAGAATAGAAACACAGAAAGTTTAAGTACCAAGATTATGCCAACCATGTTTAATGTGAAATGCTATAATCATGAATCACTGAATGAAAACTTTGCTCTGCAATGATCACTGAATGAAAACTTTGCTCTGAAATAATAATGACTGGAATATGATGTGTTTTTGATTTAATGGCAACATATGTTATTATGACTTATAAGAGATATAATCATGACCTGTAATAAAGTGTTTTTTAATTAAATATATAAAAAATATGTTTTGAAAAGGACTTTCCTCCGGTAGGATAAAATTAATTAAACTTAACTGAAGAAAATGTATCTAAAATGATGAAAAGAAAGGAGGAGCTTGGGGGAGGAGCCCCCAACAGCCTGAAATGTATAAAAGGGAAGCTGTTTCATTGTATGTTCAGTTGTTCTCCGGAGATTATCTCAGTGTGTATGCTCTGTGTTTTTCAATAAAACACTCTGGACCTGGAAGACCGCAACTTCTGCCTGTTTTTTTAGATTTCTGGTTGAAGACTTTTCTGCTTTTTGAGAACTTTGAATTTTTATAAAACTTAGCTTCAATTTTTAAGTCGTTGGGAAGAGAACATCCACGACAATTGGCAAGCCAGCGGCGGAGAAGAGCAAAAAGGGGACGTCGGACGAGCTACAGGCACCAGCTGGAGGGCGTGGAACCCCAAAGGGCCCATACTTCACCATTAAAGGTGAGTCAATTCGTTATAATTTTCTAAATTAAGTGGGGAACCAACCTTTGGCGACTGCTTGTAGGGGTCAGACGTCACAAAGCTCTTCTAAAGAACCTAGTTTTCCAAATTTAATACAGTAATTTCCAAATTTGATAAGAATTTATGTGAGAACAAATAACGGCAGATAGAGCGGAGGAAAGGTCCGGGTATGTATGAGTATATGTGAATGCATGGTTTAAGTATTAATTGATGTTTATATTGATCTGTATTTGAACTGTTGAGTGTTGAAATAACTTTGTGAAAAAGTCAAGCTTAACAGATGTTGTTCTGAGCGGACAAGTGGTGAAGGGACAGAGTGGTCAAAGCATTTTTGACAATGGTCGGTGGAAGCCACAGATCCGGAACATTATAGTACGTCTGTTACGTGAGGGTATTGGTGACTAGTGAGAGTTGGCATACTCCATGAAATAGCTTGTGTTGTGTATTAAGGTATTAAGAGGCTAAGCGATAGCCAGGCTAAGGGATAGCCAGAGTATTACCGATTAAGCAATAATCGGAGAATAGTACCGCTCGACCATCCGGAGGACGTCTATGCATTTCCAGTTATCTGGGTGCAGCCGGGGCAGCAGGGAAACAATTATATGCCACTGTGGGAAACAGTGAGGAAGAATAGAAGTGCACTGTAAAATATATAATCATTTGTTTTGTGTGTCTTTGTCTGTGTGAAGAGTGAAAGAGTTAAGTGACTAAGGGGAAGTAGGGGGTGGATGATATTAATAAATAAAAATTATAACATTAATAAAGCTTAAATATATGATCATAATAAATAGAAATAATTATTGAAAAATATAGTTAAGAAGAATAACCTGAAAATTCATTAAGATTGGAAAATAGAATTGGCAACTGGAAAATACATGGTTAAAAGAATAAAAAGAAATTAACAAGGTCCCAACAAAAATTGTAAAATTGGATATAAAGTTATATAATAAATATTGGAATTATAAGTTATATCATATAAATTATAGAGTTACTATTCTTAGGTACGAAAACACTATTATTTATAAAAAATAAAAAAATTCTAAATTCAAATTGGAAAATTCTGAAAAGAAGAACAATTGGACAATAAGAAAATAATAAAAGACAAAACACAATCTGAATTGGAAAGAGCAGAGCCGGCTAAAGTAAAATTAAAATAAAATTATAAAGGTTGGTAAATAAGCATATACCCTAAAGGTTGGGTGATCACTGATTGCCATGGGAGCCAATGGGAGCAAACAGTCTGCAGAATTGACGCCTGCCAAATTGGTTATAATGACACATCCTTCCAATAAACGCAAAATTCAAAAATGTATGACAGAATGGCACAAGATAACATCTGGAAAGAATCGCTGGCCTAAAGAGGGCAGCTTTGATCCTTCTTGCTGTGATGAAGTAGATGCCAAATTGCGGGAAAAGGATAAAAAGCGTGACCGATTGCATTTGCATAAAAAACAGAAGCATGCTGAACAGAGTGACATCTTGCGGTATTTTAAAATGGAACACCATAAGAATCCAACAGCCCCTGACTACATAGACCATAAGCCACCACCATATCACCCTAGTGCAGCAGGCCAGTACCCCGTAGTGATAGAGCCAGGCAGCAAGGGAAAGATTACAGGGCAACTTAAATTAGTGTTGGAAGAAGAGGAGGAAGAAATAGAAAGAGAAATGAGCGACACACAGCAAGAAGAGCATGAAGACAGCAGTGAGAATGAGGAGATAAAAAGAACCCCAGAAGTAAGGAAGATCATTGTCCGTACCCGATCCACAGTACGGCGCAAACGCACACCACAGCGAAAAAGCCTCACAAGCCACTCAACACCCAGGACCAAGTTAGTCTTAGAAGAATCCGAACCACTAAAGAAACTAATAGACAAGGAGGTGATGGAACTAAGAGAGACACGATCACAACTCATCGAGAGAGAGTGGAAAGAAGCGCAAATGAGACAACAAAAAGAGTTAAAAGAGACAATAAAAAGACAAAAGGAGGAGAAGAAAAGGCAAGATGAAGAATCAGAAAAATTTAAAAGAATGGAAGAAGAGCAGCTTATAATAGCAGCCAAAAAGGATTGCCCAGACCCACCATGTCCACAGACACAGTTCCTAATGGACAAAGCAAGTAAGGAGGAGGTGAGCACAATGGAGAGTGATGTAACAGATTGGGAAGACGTTGTGCCACAAGATGAAGGCCCAGATTTAATATCGCCAAAACATCCATTAAATAAGTGGTCCGAGGAAAGGAGCAGGCTGAAGGCAGGTGTAAAGGAGCCTCTCACAGCCGAGTGTGATGTGGATCTACAAATAGTACAAGGCAGCAAACACACCATGCAGACCAGGTCCAAAGCAAGAGAGCTAGAGCCAGAGCAAGAGCAAGATGAGGTCCACATGGCTCCCTTGCTGTCTAAAGGACCTCAGGAAGAAAGATATGTACCATGGTCATTTATGGACATGATAACACTGGCTGGAAGACTGACCCCATTGGCAGATGGTGCTGACAGGTGGATAGAAAAGCTGGAAGAAATCACTGGAGGCATCAACCTGGCTGCTGGAGACATCAAGGCACTGCTGATCAAAACAGCAGGACACTCAGCGGCCAGAGAGGTGTTTGACGAAGCTCAGCTTCCAGGGGTCATGATCTCACACCGGTATGACAAGATACCATTCAACAAAATAAGACCCAAGGTGTGGGCAGCCTTGAGAGACAAATACCCCACCTGCAGTGATCCAACTAAGCTGAGAGAAGAACGCCTGAAGGACGATGAGAGCCCAGCCCAGTTTCTGCACAGGTTCCAGCAGAAATGGAAAACAGAAACTGGAAGTGATGGGAAAGAACTGAAGACATCAGGCTCCCTGTTCAGAACCTACATCAGAGAGGCCATGCCCAAAGAAGTACAAGCCAAACTGAATGGTGTTGTGGGGCTCATGAAGATGGATTGGCCACTGTTCTCTGAGCATGTCATACATTATGTAAACATGTATAGGGATGAAAAACGGGCCTTTGAGGAACAAAGTAAGGTGTTGGCCACCAGATTGACCCAGCTACAGATTGGGGAATTGTCCAAAGCAAAGAAAGAAAAAGAAAAACCTAAACACCAAGCAGCGCTGACTGTGGCAGCCACACCTCCAGCGGAGAGTGCACCAACTGAAGAGGCAGTTGTGCAAGCACCAGTGGTGTCACCTGTCATCCCTCCGCCCACACAGCAGATGCAATATCCAGCAGCACCACCTGTGGGAGGAGCCCTGCCACAGCAGACCCAACCTCAACCAGTCCCTCCTATTCATGTGCATCTGAACCAAGGAGGAGGTCCCCAACCAGCAGGGTTCAGTAGAGGACGAGGGGGGCCACCCATGCGGGGAAGATGGAGGGGAACACAAGGAGCCCCAAGAAGGCCCCCTCAAGGCCAATACCAGCAGATGCCCCAGGCAGGTCCAGACATGGGACAGCAGCGTGGAAAACTCCAATGCTGGGGATGTGGACAAGTTGGACACATGCAAAGAGACTGCCCCACAAACCCATGGATGGGACCTCAGCCCCCTACTGCTGGACCAGCCACCTATGGAGCAGGACAAGAGATGTACTGGCAATAGGGGTGCCCAGAGAAACCTGATGGAGAGGCCATTCTACCTGTATTAACCCAACGACCACAAACAGAACCCACCATTGATGTCACTATATATGACAGCCATCATCGCTTTATGATTGATACAGGAGCGGCCTACTCCTGTATAGGGAAAAGTGGAATTGGCCTGCCTCTCTCAGCATCAAAGATTCGAACAGTAGGTTTCTCTGGGAAAACCCAAATTATACCCATGACTGAGCCAGTTCCCATGATCATAGGTGAAAAGACTGTGTATGCACCACTACTCTACTCAGAAAATACGCCCATAAATCTACTGGGTAGAGATGTGCTATGCCAGCTTAACGCAGAAATCAAATGTACCCCTAATGGAATTACCTTTGAAGCAACGGACAAGAATGAAGCCTACATGATGCCACTAAGCCTGCAACTGACCCCTCAAGCAACCAGCCATGATCCAGAAGACCAAGTGTTTTGGCTAAAACTCACATCACCAACTTCCTTCCTCCAACTAGAGTGGGAAACATGGAGACCCCTCATAATGAATCACTATGAAAAATCTAAAGAACCCTTTCTCCCTCTCCATTGCACCATGTTTTATGACAAAGGACAGACACACGAAGACTATGAGAAAAGCTGGGATGAAGAAATTAACAACAAAACGACTGTCATCCAATACGCTGACATAATAGTTGGACCACAAGGAGCTGCAGCTGTTGTCACATTTCCTGATAAAGAAGTAGCAGAATGGTTCCAGGTACCCAACTCAGCACCACATGTCACATTATTGATTGCAGACAAATATGAGTCACATGACCTGGGACCCATGGTTCAAGAAGCCAAGCAGGTCACTGAGTGGACTGCTACAGCATGGGACTGCATTAGCATGTCAAAAGATGGACTGTTCTTCAAAATCTCATGTACACAAGCTGATGAAGTAATAGCAGAACACATTAAAGTTCCTGGGAAAAGACAAATGGCAGTGGCTGCAGAACATGAATCATTATTAGAACAGGTTCCAGAGCAGGTATGGTCCAAAAGTAAAACAGATGTAGGGTTAGTAAAATCAGCAGACCCCATCAAATTTACTATCAAATCAAATGTGAAATTACCCTTTCAGAGACAGTACCCACTTAAACGAGAGGCAGTAGAAGGCATACAGCCTATTATTACAGGATTAGAAACAGCAGGAGTCCTTAGACAAACGACAAGCCCCTGTAACACCCCAATTTTTCCCATCAGAAAGCCCAACAGTAATGACTACAGATTAGTGCATGACTTAAGATTAATTAATGCTATCGTAGCAGAAGAGATACCGGTAGTACCAGACCCACACACACTACTGAGTAACATACCCCCGGGTACAAAATGGTTTACCGTGATAGATCTGTGTTCAGCATTCTTCAGTGTACCGGTCCATCCAGATTCCCAATACTTGTTTGCATTCACGTACAAAGGCCAACAATATACTTATTCTCGATTGCCACAGGGCTTCGTACACTCACCATCAATTTTCAATCGTGTACTGGCAAATGACTTAAATCACCTTGACATACCATCTACAATGTTGATGTACGTTGATGACATTTTGATTTGTTCTGCTTCTAAAGAGCAGTGTGAAAGAGACTCCATCACAGTGTTGACTGCACTGGCAGAGGGCGGACACAAAGTGAGTAAACAAAAATTGCAATTCTGCCAGCAAACAGTGGAGTATCTCGGCAGGCAACTCAGTGGGGACAAAAGGTGTATTGCACCGTCCCAACTGGAAGCCATAACTCAAATGCCCAAACCTCAGACTGTTGGTCACATGTTGTCTTTCCTTGGCATGGCAGGTTACAGCAGACCGTGGGTGTGTGATTATGCCATCAAAACGGCTCCACTGAGAGCACTAATTAAAGCTGCGGGTCAAGGACACCAGTCTGCTCAATTACAATGGACAGATGAAGCAGAAGGTGCGTTCCAGCTGCTGAAACAAGATCTCCAAACTGCTCCTGCTCTGGCCAATCCAGATTATGGCAAGCCATTCCATCTCTATGTGGCTGAGCGACAAGGGTATGCGTGTGCAGTATTGATGCAAGACACCCCAACAGGTAAACAACCCATTTCTTATTACAGCACAAAATTAGATGGTGTCGAAGAAGGTTTGCCTCCCTGTTACCAGGGCTTGGCAGCAGCAGCCTTCGCATACAAAAAGGCCTCAGTTATTACTATGGGCCACCCTGTAATTTTGTATACATCACATCAATTACATGCACTGCTCACCAGCCCACGCTTTGTGATCACACAAGCTCGTCGAACAGGTTATGAAGTTCTGCTTTCAGGACCAGACTTAACAATACAACGCTGTACCACGATTAATCCAGCCACAAGAATGGTATTGCCCACAGAAGGTGAGCCCCATGATTGTCTCAAGGAGACGGACACCTTCATGAAGGTAAGGGAAGACTTATACAATCATCCAATCCCATCTGATCTGACGCTGTTTGTAGACGGCTCCTGTATCAGAGGTGAGACTGGGAACAGAGCTGGATATGGAATAGTCCAACTCAACCCGGATGGGACCTTTACCAAAGTACAATCAATGAGCTTAGATCAACCTTGCTCGGCCCAGTTAGCAGAGATAAAAGCATTGACAGCAGCATGTAAATTAGCTTCTGGTAAAAGAGTAACAATCTATACTGACAGTGCCTATGGGTACGGGGTTTGCCATATCAATGCTAGCATCTGGAAACAACGAGGGTTTGTTAGAACAGATGGCACCCCAGTAACACATGGGCAAGCAGTTGTGGACTTAATTAAAGCTATGCAACTGCCATCTGCATTAGCTATTGTAAAATGCGCAGCTCATCAAACAGCAAAGACACCCATTGCCATAGGAAACAACTTGGCAGATGAAGCAGCCAAGGAAGCCACAGGACCTGCAGTGCAGGGACCAATGGTTCATATAGCTGAATGTGAACCTATTGCAAACTTAGCTTCGTTGATAGAAGCCCAAAACAGAGTCTCTGAAGCGGAAAAACGTCTGTGGGTGCAAAGGGGGGCGTCACGACTATCACATCCCCATGATGGGTTGTGGCGGAGTTGTAGAGGGCATTTTGTTTTACCTTTGTCTCTGTTACCCACCGCGATTAAAATAATGCATGGACCTGATCATTGTTCGCGAGCCCAAGTTATTCAGAAGTTACAGGCGGTCTGGTGGTCACCTTACATGACACCTATGGTAGACAGAGAGCTGGCCTTATGCCCGCATTGTCCTAAGTATAATGTGCGTAAAATGTTCACTCAGCCCTTAGCACATATCCCCATGCCAGACGGTCCCTTCCGCCATCTGATGATGGATTATGTTGACATGATAACTCGTGTTCAGGGAAAGAGGTATATGTTGGTGGTTGTCTGTCGGTTTAGCAGGTGGATAGAAGCATGCCCCACTGCTAAGAATGACCACAGAGCAGCGGCACGGTTTTTGTGTAAAGAAGTTTTTCCTAGATTTGGCATGCCTGACACTATATCATCTGATAACGGACCTCATTTTGTTTCACAGGTGATCCAGCAAATGTTCAAACAGTTGTGCATAAAACAGAAGTTTGGTTGTGTGTATCATCCCCAGTCACAGGGCTCCGTGGAACGAGCTAATGGCGTACTGAAAACAAAGATTGCTAAGATAATAGCTGACAGCAACAACCGTTTGACTTGGGTTGACGCCTTGCCCGTTGCATTAATGGCAATGCGTTCCCAAACTAACCGCATAACCCATCTTACTCCTCATGAAATGCTTACAGGTCGACCAATGCCACTTCCACAGGTTCGAGGACCCCAGCAGGAGGAGGTTTCCCTGGCACAGCTTGAGCGTGAACTGGGGGATTACCTCCGATCCTTAACACGTATTCACAGACTTATATTTCAACAGGTGAAAGCAGCCCACAGCCGTGACGAGACACACATCCCAGTGGACGTCAGAGACGTTCAAGTTGGTGACAGTGTGTTCATACGAGTCTTTAGACGTCAGTGGAACGAGCCTCGTAGGGAAGGCCCTTTTAAAGTTGTGCTTACCACACCCACTGCCCTGAAAGTTGAAGGTAAGCCCTTCTGGTTCCACAAGAACCATTGCACCAGGCATCGGCCTCCAGACCCACCTGGACTTGATCCAGAACCGACGGGCTCTGCGCATGCTGACAGGGCAGCAATAAGTCTCCCTCCGCAACACCCCACCACAAGCTCACAAATCTTGGAGTCAGATACTAATGCCCCCTCTCCGCCGTCCACATCAGCCGGCCAGAGGCGTTCAGAACGCCTGGCGGCCAGGCGGTCTCCAATGTCCAGGGACTCTGAGGATGATAGTGTTCATTCTTATGCTCCCGATTCGCCTCCTGACTCTGGTGGCAATGATGATGATCCTTCTGCCGCTCAGAGCACTGATGGGTCTGACCCTGATCCATCCGTCGTTCAGGCCTTGGACGAACTTGTTTCTTCTGACCCACCAGATGCTGGTGGAGTCGTGTCCCCTTCACATCCCTCACCTGCACCTTCCCCTCTTATCCCCTCCCTTTCCCCTTCCTCCTCCGAGGCAGATGGGCCGCCGATCCAATCGGTCCCGCCCACTCCATCGCCGTCTGGGCATTACCCGCATGCGTTTGACTTTGACTAATTGTCTTGTTTTGTTAACCCTTTGTGGGTTAACAAGGGGGGATCTAATTAAGGTTACTACTAACAACACACACCCACATTTAATGCGTCAAACACAAACATGCGCCTTAGCAATGGTAACACTAGCTACTAACCAAGGGGTAATCACTAATAATAATGGAGAGAGTATATCAATAATGCATGTGCAAAGTAAAGGATATAATTATGTAATGTCTGAAGAAATTTTAGGGAAGTCAATGGGAAAACATTGGCTTGGAATTCCACGGAGCGCGGACTGCCGTGGGGATGGGATGGTGATCATTGAGGTAAGATGCAAAACGAACATATGCCAGGACATAGTAACAAAACAGATAATGACAGTAGAAAGAGCGCATAGCATGGTACAATTAGTGAACAGAAGACAGAAAAGAGATCTAGATAAATTAAAAACGGCTTACTGGGAGAACAACATGTTCCAACAATGGATTCAGTACTCTGTCCAGACAATGTTCACAGCCAAAAAGCGCCCTAGAGATGATTGCATAGCCTGCTACAATGTTAAAAAATTACCAGCCCTTCAGATAATCCCCGGAAGTAGAATAGGGGATTGCCTAGATGTAACAGAGTGCTTTGCTCACTGTGCCATGCAGATGGCCGGAGGTCTTGCAGCATTGTCAAAGGATCACACGATATGCCCTAGAGCGTTGACCACTTCAGTAAACGATGTAATGAGTACGTTCTCCCTCCCACCAGTTGTACAAAAACCGGCTAACCTGATTTTTCCGTTCTGTATAGCCCGTGGAAAAGAATTAGAAGAAGTGACTAAAAGGACCTCTGGCAAAATGTGGACAGTAGATAGACTGGTGACATGTAGTAACAGAACATGGTTCCCACCAACTGAGGATGGAAATTCCACCCGTCACATTAAGTTTTGTAAAACTAGTTTAAAAGCTACCATACGTTGTGAACAAGTAATACCAGATGGGGGTCATGTCATCTATGAGTTCCAACCTTCAAGCGTGTCGCAGTATCGAATACTGAGTATGGCAAAGGGATCTGCCCCTTTGGGTGACATTTTTTGGATGTGTCACAATGAGACACAGATGTTCGCCACACTGCCCCCTCTGTGGGAAGGCATCTGTGCACCAGTAATGCTAACAGGACAACTAAAGTTAATAGTAGCGAACCCCGAAGGTGTTAAAGAAACATCTAACGAAATAACCAATCGTGCTAAGAGAAGTACTCCCGCTAAACACGAGTGGAAAGCATCAGATGAGGTATATATTACCTGGGATCAGATCCCGTATGGGGTACCTGAAGATCAGATTGCTATAGGGAGTGATTGGATAGAAAGCGGAAGAGCGGCTGGTGCGGTACCAATTTGGGGAACTATTGTCAATGCACAGTACACAGCTCGGAATAGCAGATGGGTGAATCTCTTATGGTATAATCAACAAAGGTTTATCAATTTTACAATAAAGGGCATGGATCTGGTGAAGGAACAGTTGCATGCCACTTCGCTAATGGTCCTGCAAAACAGGTTCGTGCTAGAATCCCGTATGGCAGGGGATCAAGGGATATGTGATCATATAGGAGAAGATTGTTGTACTTTGATTCCAATGCATACAGATGTAAATGGCAGCCTTACAGGAGTCCTACAGGAAATGAAACGCATGAGGGATGAGCATGTGCTACAATCTAATTGGAACACTCAATTGAAGGGATTTTGGGACTGGTTCAACAAGCTTGGATGGGGAAGGTATCTTAAGGCAATTGGGATGGCTCTAGGGATAATAATATTAATCATATTGATAGTTATTTGTTGCATCTTGCCCCTTATTCGAGGACTAGTCTCACGACTCATTGTAAGTGTAACTGGACAGTTCCCAGTAGTGCAGATACAATTGGACCAAGGTATATAAAACATACTCATGATCTCCACCCACCCCCATCAGGTACGTGCTCTTATTTACTAACAAAATTGTATATATGTATATTAACAGGCTTAACAACAACCTATATACTTATTCACGTAGATGTAGCAATTTGCATGTTGAATGATCCGTAGCTATAGGGGATAATATATCTTATGACGATGTCTAAATATGCCATACTATGTCCCCACAGGTAGATTATTGAACATGGCAGAGGCTTATTTCGCTGTACATGACGAAAACCAAATGTCTTATTTCCCATCCGATGAGGCATGCCTAGCGTATAATGAAAGAAAAGACCAAGCTGCACTGGCGTCGTTAGGCCCATCACTAGGGGAAGCATGCCCATATGTCCCTCCCAGGCAGCCAGAAGGTCCTGTAGGGGAGCCAGGTGTCGCACCTCCAGGTTGGAACAGGCCTATGATGACGCCCAGAAGGCAGCCAGATGATCAACCGCCATCACCAACAGGGGAGCCACTGTCCAACCCGCCATCACCTGGGAACCTCAGGATCGATTTCGGCCCAAACAGCACCCCTGCCAGCCCAGAGAATCCGGAGGATCGACTACCTTCCCACCTCAGATGTCTTCAAGAGCGGCCGTCCACGTCAGGACTGCGGGCTGAGCAAAGTGGAAAAGAGCATGCCTCTCTACCTCTTATTACAGGCTTCCTGGCTGAGCTGAACGAACCTGTTCCTGGGGCCCTGCAGATCGACACCAGCCCAAGCAACAACTTCACCGACCTCTCCAAACGGGTGGTGCATGAAGAAATCGTTGACTGGCCCCAGGAGATGCCAGGCACATCGGGCATGCAGCAGACACCCAACAAGACACAGCCTCCCCCTCCGTGCCCAAAAATCCCATGGAGGTACCAACAATTTGCAGGCATATCTTTCGGCACGGAGGAATATCAGCACCTCGCAGGGTTTTTTGCTCACCCAATGCATACCTATCGCTCTGGTTTCGATCTGACACCTGAGGTCGAATCCATGACCACAGCGGTATATTCAAAGATGATGAGAGGTCTGAAGTATGACACCTCACGCCGACTCATGGAAGCTATTCGCCGCAGATCATACAAAGCCAAGGCAAGAGGGAAGATGCAGCGTTTGACCCAAGCACATCAGGAGCTGAAAAATGAACTGGAGGAGGCACGAAAATCCATCATCGCCCTGCAAGGAAAGCTGCTGCAGTCGAGTGATCAGGGGCGCGTGGCTACTGCCACCACATTGCTGCAGCTGTCGGGGCCACGTAACTAATAATCTCAACGCCATATTGGATATAAAGGACAATGCTGATTATTGATGATTATGCATACCTATGTTAAAAAATATTGATATAATTGTATACTTTACGTGACAGTACAAGTACTGTGCAGGAGAGTGCCACAGGGTTACTCTTAGGTTGGAGGTATTGAAGGTCCATTGACCATTAGAGGATGTGCTTTTCCTGGCCTGGCCCAGGAATGATGTAGGTTTTCTTGGTTTATTTAAGGGTGCTTGACTACACCCATGCGAAGGGGAATGCGGTGCCCTCGGAGCACAAGATGCTGCTTGAACATTGACATTTTCCTTTGCCGAAAAAACAAAGTTAGAAAATCTTTCTACAAAAAAAGTAAGCAACGAGGGAAAGATCCTCACAAGGGTGCCAAGAGGGGGATCCCTCTTTGACTAAGCTATCCTTATATACTCATGACCTCTATATTGGTCACTATAATCTTATGATGTAGGTTTGGTTTTACTTCTAGTTTGATGTGCATGATATATGAGCAGTAGTTACTTTTGACATTTTACACTTATGATATTTTGAGTAGACTCACGTAGTGTTGATCCTTTTAGGATCAAAGGGGGGAAAATGTAGGGAATTAATGTGCACCAATGATTAAAATATATACATGTCTTTCACATTGAATAAAGGTCTTGCTTTAAAAGTCTAAAAAAGTTTGGTATGCTGCAGAAAAGAGACAGAGGGTCTGGCATGCTGCTCAAAGTGCAACTTTAGATCAGAGCAAGATGCTGCTCTAAGGGTTCTAAGTGCAACTTTAGATCAGAACAAGACAGTGAGTCTGGCAAGTCCCGCTAAAAGTGGCTTCTGCACTGAGGCTAAGTTAAGAGTGCACAGATGTCCAGCAAACAGACAGCCGAGCCCAAATAAGGCCTATGTATGAGACATATGCTTGAAGAATAGAAACACAGAAGGTTTAAGTACCAAGATTATGCCAACCATGTTTAATGTGAAATGCTATAATCATAAATCACTGAATGAAAACTTTGCTCTGCAATGATCACTGAATGAAAACTTTGCTCTGAAATAATAATGACTGGAATATGATGTGTTTTTGATTTAATGGCAACATATGTTATTATGACTTATAAGAGATATAATCATGACCTGTAATAAAGTGTTTTTTAATTAAATATATAAAAAATATGTTTTGAAAAGGACTTTCCTCCGGTAGGATAAAATTAATTAAACTTAACTGAAGAAAATGCATCTAAAATGATGAAAAGAAAGGAGGAGCTTGGGGGAGGAGCCCCCAACAGCCTGAAATGTATAAAAGGGAAGCTGTTTCATTGTATGTTCAGTTGTTCTCCGGAGATCATCTCAGTGTGTATGCTCTGTGTTTTTCAATAAAACACTCTGGACCTGGAAGACCGCAACTTCTGCCTGTTTTTTTAGATTTCTGGTTGAAGACTTTTCTGCTTTTTGAGAACTTTGAATTTTTATAAAACTTAGCTTCAATTTTTAAGTCGTTGGGAAGAGAACATCCACGACAACACCAGCATCTTCTCTCCACCCGGCACACGCTGATGTCACAAAACCCTGTCTCTGTGTGGATCATTTCCTTTTAATCTTTTAAACTCACATTTTTCTGGATTAAAACCCAAAATTTTTGGTGCTGAAACTCCGGGAGTCAAGATCCAATTGTCCAGGACCGTGCGGGTCCAAGGCCAAGAAACTGTCGACAGCCGTCCACCCTTTGCCGGACGGAGCCAATAGGTTGGTCCAGCCCTGCCCTGGACATCCTGGTGACGACTCAAGCTGAGGACTGATCTGCACAGAAAGGGTACGCCTAAAGTTTTTTATCAAAAGCTGGTCTGGGACCATGTGAAAGCTATAACTAGTTGTAGTCGCTAGAATATTTGACAAACAGGGTTTGTTGTGAGAGATCTGGGATCTGTATTCTGTGCGTTTTGGGTCTGGGACCCTCTGTGTGAAAGCTATACTAGTTGTAGTCGCTAGAATATTTGACAAACAGGGTTTGTTGTGATAGATCTGGGATCGGTATTCTGTGCGTTTGGGTCTGGGACCCTCTGTGTTCAAGCTATAACTGGTTGTAGTTGCAAGAATATTTGACGAAACCAAGTTTTGTTTACAGGTCTGGGATCTGGGTATTCTGTGCATTTGGTTCTGGGACCCTCTGTGTTCAAGCTATAACTGGTTGTAGTTGCAAGAATATTTGACGAAACCAAGTTTTGTTTACAGGTCTGGGATCTGGGTATTCTGTGCATTCCAGTCTGGGACTCTGTGTTGTAAAAAAATAAAAAATATTAGGCCTTAGAATAGGTGTGTGTGACTGTGTGAAAGTGTGTGAGGAAACAATCGAACCGCTGTGTTCTGTTGTTTCATACTAAAACAGCAGGAATTAATACAGTATAACTCTTGTGGATGCAGAGGCAAGAATTTCTCACCTGAAAAGGTAGAAGCAGAAATTACCACAACAGTGTTTGGGTGCTGTCCTGCTGAATAAACATCCAGTTCGTAGAATACCCTAGGTGTTTGTACTGGACTAAATTCTTTAAAAATGGGACAAGGTAGTAGTAAGAAGGAAATGCCAGGTGATGTTAGATGGATGGTGGCGTGTTGTGGTGGTGACCCAGAGTTTGCCAGAAAGTGGATTGAGAAGGAGGACTGGGATGGAAAGTTGAGAGTTGAGCCGCTGACAAAGATTCAGCAGAAGGTGGAGATGAAGTTGGTGTATAAATCAAAAAGAAAACAAGCTAAATACAGAAAAGAATTAGAAGAGTTAAATAAGTGGATTATGCAAGCAAAAAATAGGGAAAGGCAAATACAACAGAAGAAGGATAGAAAAAAAGCTACAATTGCTGCTGTAAAAGTTAAAGCTGATTAAGAAACTGTTGTATCCCGTATGCTTCCTCAATATCCTGACCCTAATCAAATTCAAGGGGGTGATGGGGTTCAAGCAGTGGCATCAGCTGCGCAGGAAGGTGGACATAAACCCCATCACGGTGAATATGAACACAGACATGCCACTGTTCCTCCTCCAGTAGCCCCACCATCGCATAATGATATTGGAGGAGCAGGAGCAGGCCCCCTGTCCATATTGTCCTCTGTGGATGGTATGGAACTCAGTGCCCCTGACCCTTGTGGGCATGAGTTGGGAGGATCAGGGGGGGGTGTGAAGCTTGATTCGAAGTGTTACAGGGATGATTATCAAGTGGAGGCTTGTGGAAGGGGCCCATCTGACCCTATTTATCCAAGATTGGCTGAATTAAAAAAACAAGAACAGGACCAAGATCCTGGGGAGGGGGCATGTGCTTTTCCGGTGTTGGAGGTGGCCAACCCTCATTGTGGTCAACAGTGATGGGACTAACGGCGTTGAAAGTAACGGCGTTACTAACGCCGTTACCTTGTTTTAGTAACGAGTAATCTAACTAATTACTTTGACTGTAACTATAACGCAGTTACCATTGCAGGCACCCCGGTACTGCGCGTTACTCAGGTCGCACAATGAACCTTTTTTCATGATAGGACTCGTGCGCAGCTGCGTAAAGCTGACACCCCACCCACGTCAAAAAACTCTGCAAATAGACTGAATGGTTAGTGCAACGTTAGTGCAGATTTGTGCAGAAAAAAATATTGTTTGGGCTACTTTTGTTTAAGAGATATTAAAGATTATTTTAGGTCATCCAGAGGTGCGCGCCTTGTCATGAGAGAGGGGAGGATGAGATTCCGTCTGTCAGTTGAATAGGTGGGTGTTTCTGCTGGTGGGTGTTAACGTACAGCACACACAGAGAGATGGAGAGTGAGGATGACTCCAGCAGCAAAACAGCGTTTTCCACATGGAAATACCGGTGTTACGTAGAGCTGCGTTTCCCCATCACATAACGGTTTCCTCTGCATCTCCACACAGCGCAGGCGGCAAGAGTCACCGCGCAAGCGACAGGAAACGCGCATGCTCGCTAAAGGCGCGCAACAGTCGCCCTGTGCTCGCGCCACAGGAGAACTATGGAGAGCGTGAACGATCAAATGAACCTGACAACAGCCAGAAATGATAGCCTATATGGAGAAAGGGAGAAATCTGGATGGATGGATGGATGGATGGATGGATGGATACTCTGCCTTCTCAACCTACTGTTTTTTTTTATTTTAAACATTATTTGATGGCCTTTGTGGCAGGGATGGAGATCCATATTTTATGTCACACACAGAGTATACATCTAGATAGATAGATGGATAGATAGATGTTGCAGTATCTATAACAACCCAAACACACAGGATTTCAGAATTAGACATCCCCAGTTATTAATTTCATATACTCACTGGATCTGAATGTCCTGTTATAAAACTTCACATGGCATTCCCCCCTGATGTCATTTACGTTGAGTTGCAATAAATGCTAAACTGTCTGCAGGTTCTTGTCTTTGTCGTACGCTCTATTCAGCTGGCTTTGGAAACACACGGCGAGAAGGTGGGGGCTGGGTGGTGAGGTTTACGGGGGCGAGAAACGCAAAAGTAACGCAATAGTTACTTTTACTAGTAACTAGTTACTTTTATTGTGGAGTAACTCAGTTAGTAACTCAGTTACTTTTTGGGAGAAGTAACTAGTAACTATAACTAATTACTTTTTCAAAGTAACGTGCCCAACACTGGTGGTCAACCTTTTGTTCTACCTCTATGGGAAGGACAGCCATGGGCAGAAATAGAACAAGATGACATTGACCCGCTAACTAAGTGAATGCTGAAGCTTTTCAGCGACAAAACTGTTCGGAAAACATGTAATCTGCCCAGTGCTCCTTTTGTTTCCCCACAGGAAGGCCTCAAGCCTGGAGAAAGAGTGCTGATTAAAATCATCAAAAGGAAAACTTGGAAAGCTCCGAGGTGGGAAGGACCCTACATAGTGCAACTAACAACCCCCACTGCCGTGAAAATCCAGGAGAGAGACACTTGGATCCACCAGTCATTGTAAACTGATTAAAAACTTTCCACAGCAAGAAGCCCAATTACCTTCACAGGAACTCCATAACTAAGGTGAGGGATCTGTGGTGAAGTCCAGCTTCAAAGGGGTTTGGTTTTTTTAGGACCACTCGTCTCAACGCTGGTGAAGGAAACAACCTAACCCAGTCCTTTAGAGTCCTAGTTAATGGGTGTTTCATTGGAAGAGCTGATGAAGATGAAAGAACTAATGACGTTCATCTGCCTGGTGGTGACCGTTGGAGTGGTGTTTCTAGGGACTCAAACTGACCGTCTGAAACAAAGGAAGAGCAGGATGATTTTTGATGGATCCACAGAAAGTCATCCATAC